ATTTGCATTTGATATGGCTGTTGCTAAATTTGTAGTTATGGAGTTTTGAGCTGGGCTGATAATTATTACTTTTAATCTCTCATTTTGAAGAGTTCTCCTGAATTTGGAAAAATAGCCGGTGGGCTTTGGTCATTTTCTCATCGTTGAGGGTTTTCTTTTTAGTAATCTTTCTGAAAGTTTCAATCTTGGAGTCGTATTTTGGGAAAATCTTTGTGTAGTGCATTATTCTGAATGTCCCATTTGATAAAGCTGGTGAATCTTTTTCAGTTCTGCAAAATGGGACCAAACCTAAGCCCAGTCCTGCGCCGGGAGCTCGAAAATCTTGACAAGGATGCTGATAGTAGAAAATCGGCATTGAAAGCTTTGAAGTCATACGTGAAGGACTTGGACTCGAAAGCAATACCCATCTTTCTTGCTCATGTATCTGAAACAAAGCAAACTGGGGTATCACCCGGAGAGCATACAATTTCTCTGTACGAGGTTCTTGCTCGAGTTCATGGGCCGAAAATCATCCCCCAAATAGATAATATCATGAACACTATCGTCAAGACCTTATCCTCGAGTGCGGGAGCTTTTGCTCTTCACCAGGCTTGCTCAAAGGTTGTTCCAGCTATAGCAAGGTATGCAATCGACCCAACAACAGCAGAGGATCGAAAGAGATATATTATTCAATCTCTGTGTAAGCCCCTTTCAGACTGTCTTCTGTGTAGCCAAGAAAATCTGTCTTCCGGTGCTGCCCTTTGCTTACAAGCACTTGTTGAGTCTGATAACTGGCGGTTTTCTTTGAACGAAATGGTTAATGAGGTATGCCAGAGGGTAGCTGGGGCTTTAGAGAAGCATTCGCAAACCAATTCCCATATGGCTTTGGTCACAGCTTTGGCTAAACACAATAGTTTGATCGTTGAAGCCTATGCCCGACTGTTGATACAGTCTGGACTGCAGATTTTGGATGCCGGTTTTGCAGAGGCGAATTCTCAAAAACAGCTGTCGGCCATTCATATGGTGAGTTCCCTAATGAGATGTTTGGACCCGAAAAGTCTGTTGTCAGAAATGGAATTTGTAATTAAGGAAATGGAGAAGTGTCAGTCTGACCGAATGCCATTTGTTACTGGGGCTGCTTTTGAAGCACTGCAAATCGCGAAGAAAATATGTGCCGGGAGGAGGAATATTTGTGGTTCACCTTTTACTTCATCACCCGAGTCGCAAACTGTTAACTCGTTCATTGAGTGTGATTATTTTATCGAGTCTCCTAAGTCGATTACTCAGGAGCATCAAAGTTATTATGGCTGTAGGACTGTAAACCGTAGACTTTGGCAAAGGTCTGGCAATGGACTTTTGGATGTATCTCTCAAAGACGGCATATTCTCAGGTATAACTCAAGGAAATGACAATATGAGCTCTGAGTGTGATGGCCTTTCTCCAAAGAGCGAAGATTATGTTGGGAACTTTTCGGGTTTTGTTCGTGGGAGGTCTGAAACTCCAAGTCCAGAGGTACGGTTTTGCAGGGCTCACTTTGTTTTGTGTTCAAATAAATGCTTGAATTACACTATTTGTGGAGCATAGCGATTGTTAAGATGGGGAAAACCCATCCCAGTCAGGTAGTATTTAACTAAAAAATCAATGGTGCTGTTATTTTTAATTCTAAAGTTTGAAAACTCGAACAGTATTCTATGAATGGCTCGGATAAGCATCTGTTTAACATATGGTGCACATGATGTATGGACTTCCCATCAAAATAATATACTCGTGTTTGTATACAAATATACAAATATATCCACTCAAAATGAGTTGAAATAATTTTTAAACAAACATGCTCTCAATGTATCTATGATATTTTTTGGCACGCAACGAGTGAAAAGATCACTAGGATGCAATATTGAACTTTATTAGCAAAGATGAATGAAATGCATCTTTTCTTGAAGAACCCAAAAAGTTTGATTACTAAATCTTTGCACTCCATATTTCATAAAATATGATGCATCTTTTTATCTGTCCGTTTCAGCACTCAAACTCTCACATTAATGTTGATGATGTGAAGCCCTTCACTACCCCTAGAAAGCTCATTCACTCACTTCAAGTTCAGGATTTACAAGATTTTGATTCGAATTTCTCCACAAAACAAGTCAAAAAGTTCAGGAGCCCAACGAAAAGAAGCGCATTTTACGATCAAAGTCATCTGTGTCGGGAGATGAACCGTGAGAATGGTGGAGGCAGATTATTTTCTGAAGAAGAACATCATGGCCAATCAGAATCAGTTTCTTCCACAGGAGATGAAGTAGTTCCCGAGAATAAACCACGGTTGGAGAAAGTCTATTGTCACATCTCTGCACGTAGCATTATTTACAGTCTTTTTGCTGTTCTATTGGCATTACTTTTGTGTTTGTTGGCAATAGGTAATCAGGACGATCAAGACAACATTCTTGTTCCGACTTAGATGTTTGTTCCATTCGTTCGTGATCATTGCTAAGCTTTTAGGAATATATGGACAGTGTCTTTAAATTGGTTCTGCACTTTGTAATATGTATCTCAGTACTTGGAGATTGATGACAGTCATTTTGCATCCTGTAGGAATCCATTATTGAAGCACAAATTACCATTTTCTACTTTCTTATGAATATCTAAATGAAAAGATTTTATATTTGAAAAATTGTAGCATTATTTTTTTCTCTACAAGACTATCAGGGGATTCCACTTTGAGGTTTGCCAATAATTACAATCTTCTATTTTGATATGAATATCTGAAGAAAAAGATTCTATCAAACAACTGTAGCAAAATTAGCATTAATTTTATTGTTCAGGGAGTATTCATTGCATGAGGTTTAGTAGATACTGTATATGCAAATATGCGCATAAATAATGAACACAAGCGCCCATGGCCTAATGGATAAGGCGCCTGACTTCTAATCAGGCGATTGTGGGTTCGAGTCCCACTGGGCGTGAAAATTTTTTAAACATTTTTTT